AGGCTTTCAGAGATCTCCTGGGGGCTGGGGAGGGCAGAAATGAGCAAAAAATGGGTCGTTTTTTTGCTAAATTTTGCTCCCCTGGCCTCCAGGAGCACTCTATAAGCCTCCTAAAGAGCTATTCATGCCCTTTTTTGGGGGGGGGGGAAACGGGCCAGTTTTCGTGAAAAACAGGCTGTTTTGGGGAGGGTTGCAGAGTGCAAAACCTTTTTTAAAAAATTTGCCTCTTCAAAACCTTGGTACGTCTTATACTCCGGTGCATCTTATACTCCGAAAAATACGGTACTTACTTCATTCATATAAGTATAATTCATATAAGTATTATTTAATTTTGCATATTTTAATATATGTGATATCTGGGAGAGATGGGAGCGCTTATTTACTAAATAAAATATGCAAGAAAAAATGCACAGTATAAGAGGCTTGTTGGAAACACAAGTTGCATGCAATGAAGTCATACTTAACTCAGAAATACTAATATTAACATGAGGCAGGGTATTAAGCTTGCATATGTTATAAAGAAAGGGAGCATATTAAACTGAAATATGTTAAATTAGACAGATTTCTTTCAAAACTAAATTAATTTTGAAAAAGATATTCCTTAAATGGATTATATAAAATAAAAATGAAAGAAGACTGATGTCTTTCCTTTAAATGAAGGAAATTGCATGTATAAGGGATGCCCTCAAAATTGGCTGTACTGTGTTCAGCTATAAAAAGTATGAAATGTTTGTTTTCACAAAGAAAAAAGAGGTTTTCACATAACCTAGTTTGAATTTAACTCAATTTGGCTAAACAGAATAAAATTTAGATTCATTGCATCTTGTGTGTTCAGTTTCAATATGGTGAAAAGCTCATTCACCAGGAAAGAAGTAATTCAAGTTTTGAAATGAATGACTAATTGCAGAGAGTTGACTAAGCAAGCAAACAAATTATCTTTCTAACCAAAAAAGACATGTCTTCAACATCATGGTAATTGTTTTTTGCTTAAGGCTAATTATTGTTGGAGTGTAATGTTCCCAGTAATTAACATATTCATAGAGCATTAACCAATATTTCATTATCATGTATTTTAATTTGTGTGCCAGTTACTGTGCTATTTAGAATTTAATTCTCTTCTTTAATAAATATATAGCTTTGATCTCAACTTTAAACTAACTTCTGACATGTTTGGAATATTTATTGGTTTTCCTAATAAACTAATACTTCTCATTTGAATTTAGTTTTGATAGTTTGAATAGTTGTGCACTCACATGAAGAGCAAGTAATAATATTACATTTTCCTTTGATCATAAACATTTGATCACAAATAATTGCTATCGTCTTAAAGGAAAATCCTCAACCAATTAAATCTAGGCATCTTTGAAGGAATTCTGTAGGCATCCAAAGTCTTCCATTATTGCCTTCAATTGTAGTTAAATAGTTAAACTTAAATATTTTTCTTAAACTTAAATATAGTTCAAGAAAGCCCTTGAACTATATATTTACAATACAATCTATTTGTATTGGAATGTATTATTGAAATATTGTAAATAGTTTATGTACAATATGTCAACACAATAATATAAATTTCCCTGTAAGGTATAAAAAATGACTTCTGCAGTTCTTAAAGTACAGGTAGTCCTACAACAGTTCATTGAATGACCGTTCAAAGTTACAATGGGACTGAAAAAAGTGACTTATGGGCGTTTTTCACACTTGCAACCATTGCAGCATTCCCATGGTCGTGATCAAAATTCAGATACTTGGTAACTGACTCAGATTTATGACAATTGCTGCAGCCCAGGGTCATGTTTTTTGGCAATCTTCTGACAAGTAAGGTTAATGGAAAAGCCAGATTCATTTAACAACCGGGCTATTAACTTAACAACTGCAATGATTCATTTAATAACTGTGGCAAGAAAAGTCATAAAATGGGGCAAAACTCACTTAAGAAATCTTTTACTTAGCAATTGTGGACTCAATTGTGGTCATAAGTCAAGGACTGCTACCTTGACTACTACTAGATATGCTACTGAAAGTGATTTCTAGCTATAGCCTTCTGTGAAAAAAAGTGTCATTTTTCTAACTTGTATATTTTTTGTTCATTTATAAACTGCCAATTAATATTATGAAATAATGCATTTCTTAAAAGTAAAACATGGACACAGTAGCAAAGGATTAATGAAAGAAAAATGTGAGCGATCCCTGAGAGTAGCTCAGATGGAACTGGGTTGAAATTCCATTTAGCCATAAAGTGGAATTGCGTAAGCTATGTATTTCTGTCCATTTCTGTGCTATTCTGAAAACCTGGAAGTTATAAATGGTAAAAGAATAAAATAACTATTTAAAGCAAAGTTTAAATAACCGAATCACTAATACACAGCACTGAATATATATAGCTTTATTTTTAATACCTTCTGTGATTAATTTTGTGAGCTTTATGTTCCCTCCATTGATCATTTTATGTCTTAGATCTTACAAACATCTTAGATATTACTAAATGTAATATAATCTATGAAAAGCATATTTGATCATTTGAAATTATTAAACTACATTTAGTTATTCTGAATATTTTATGTTTCATTCCTCAGAGAAGAAGATGAATATTCTGAACTGCGATCAGAACTTAGTCAGAGTCAACATGAGGTCAATGATGATTCACATAGCATGGACCAAGATCAGACCTCTGCTTCACTTCCAGAAAACCAGTCAACTATTGTCACAGCTGACATTGGTATTTTGAATATATTTATAGTTTTAAAAGATGGATCATTTTTAATACAGCATATAATGCCCTATTGCAATAAATTTAAATAACTAGAAAACCTTCCTAATCTTTTAAAATGTGAGGTAAACAGCAGCATTTAATAGTAATCCAGTTTTTTTCTAACCTTTTTGAAGAAAAAAATGACATCCACAGATGTTGAAAGTAAAGTAAAAATATCAATCATTATTTTTAATAATACAAATAAAATACAAATGTGTATTTTTAAAATACACATAATATATCAACACCCAGAAATAGATACAAAATATTAATTTCAGCAACAAGTTTGCACTTGAGGATTTAGTTGCAGTAAAAAAATCAGAAATGACATTGGAAGCAATCATTTTTTAAAATGTTTACAAAGTGCTGAAGTAAATCATTCTCATTTGTCCATTTACTTTTTTAAAAAAATATTCTGAAATATATTAATTTAAATATAGCATTTTCTTCAATATTATATTAAATTATTAGGTTTTGACGATTTTACTTTTCTTCTTATGCCATTAACTGTGTAAATTCATAGATTTCTAGTACTATTAGATCAAATAACAAAGGAAATGAAAAGCCATGTTCTTCCAAGACTTGTTGCTTTCCGAAAGCTGTGTAATTTTTATACAGATGGCAGGTTTCAAATAACATTTGGCTGAGCTGGGAAGTGTTAGGGACATTTGTTTGTGTCAGAATGGCTCTTGTAATCATAATTTTTGTGAAGCTCCAGCAGGTTTTGTGGTTCCATTGCATGGGCCTATAGCCAATGTGCCGGATAGAAATAATTTGTGACAGAAAGAGTCAGTATATTAAGCCACATTTTAAAAATTCTGGATTCTGATGTTTATTTCAGAGCGATAACCCATTTTCAATTCTAATAGTTACTGCATCATTTTGATGTCTTCCAAACCTACCAATAATTTATTGGTAAGAGTATGTTGTGTAGTGTGTGTCTCAAATTTTCTTCAGTATGTGGAAATCTGTGTTTCTTATGACATATAAATTGCTGCAGCTAAAAGTTGTTTAAATTATTATTGTGCTAACTATTGCAAAATATTTGATAAGTAAATGTTTAATTGGATCTACAAAATGTAGAAAATTGATGTGGCAAAAAATATCAGCATATAAAGGAACACTGAAACACTGCAATAGAAGATAATTTTATTCAAATCTACTCACCATTTACAAACTATAAACAATGATTTTTCAAATTGATCTATATCTTCGGTACAAGAGTCATTCTGGATAGAAACACTGAATGTGAATATTTAAAATATTTGAAATGTTTTCAAAAATCATGTATGTATGTATGTATGTATGTTTTTTAATTCCTATGTTATAATAATCACTATTTCTATAATTATTTCAGAGCAAAATAAAACTACAGAATAGAGTATAATAGGGTAACTGTTAACCACTATGACTATTTTTATGATGTGTAAAGCAAGCATGCTTATCATGGAAAAAATAGTGATGCAATTACTGTAAGATCTTAAAACAAAAGCAAAATTTATGCATGGGTATAATTTGTTGTTAATTAATAATGATTGATTAATATACAGCTATATATGGCCCAGCTAATTTGGAGATATATATTTAATGATAAAGTTGCCCAAGGCAGGTTTCTAGATGTTTTTGTTTTAGGTACATAACTATATTATTTTAGATAATTCTGTTTGGGAAAATTTGCTAAATTCAGTTTTGAACAGGAAACAAATACTGTATTAGGCAGCAGCATGAACCTGGAAAAAGTTGTTGTTTTAAGAAGCTGCCAGACTGCCCTACATGTAACACCTGTTTCCCTTTGAACCTAGTATACCTTAATGTTGAGCCTATACCAGTCAGAAAGCAAATAGTATATTTGTTTTTCATTTGCATGCCTTTTTTTTGTTCTACTTTTTTTTATAACTTTGTTGGTTTTTTTAATTCTTTTGATATATTCATAAAGCAAATATGCCTCTATGTTGCTATAGGCAAAACAAACCCCCATCAAGGACTAAAAAAACCTTATTTGGGCCTATATTGTACATCCTATGTCCGGAATGGTGAACCTATGGCACATGTGCCAGAAGTGGCATGCAGAGCCCTCTCTGTGGGCACACGCGCTGTCGCCCCAGCTCACCAGGTGATCGTTGGGTTTTCTGCACTCTGGCACACACGCGCTTTCCAGTTTGGGCACACTGTGCCTAAAAGGTTCGTCATCACTGTCCTATGTAATCTGCTTTCCCCAAGATATAGATCATTTTTGCTTTTAGTCTTATTTGCATTGTGAAATGTAAAAATGAGGAAAGCACTGTCATGTAAAATATGACAAAATGTACCCAGATTATTATGGTGATTTGAAATATAAGAGGAATAACTTTGGGTTCTTGGTAATCCTTAAACTACAATTATTCTATATGATTGGAGAATAATTGTATCAATTCAGCAATTTCATTACTACATCTTTGTCTGAAACATGCTAATTATAAAACAAACGTGGTTAATGCAGAACCATGATTTTAATTGTAGACAAAGAGCTTTCTCATAAGTATATTAAAGCTTTTATTTTATTGTAGTTTATCTTTTGCAAACAGAGTTCAAAAGTATATCCCTGAGGTGGTCAATCCACATTGACATTAATTTTCTTTGTGGCCTTTTAACCAATTTTAAGGCTTATCTCCAGGGATGGTCAGAGCAGTGGTGGGTTCCGGATCCCGTTCCAACTGGTACGGTTGGAATGGGCCCGGTGGCATCTACATGGATGCACGCAGTGTGCGCATGTGTCTTAGCACCTCTGCGAGCCTCCGTGACACTCCAGCTGCTCCACAGAGCATTGCACAGGCTCTGTACGCACCATGCACAAGCGCAGAAGGCTTAAAAGAAAGGTAAGGAGCTCGGGTGGGCAGGTAGGCCTTCCTGAGCACTGTACTGGAACAGTATCCAGTGCTCTGGGCAGGCTCCGGTACATCCGTACCAGGGCGTGCCGCCTGCAACCCACCACTGGCTCAGAGGTTATGCAAGGGCTATACTTTGCCCATTTCTATTGTGTGCTCATCCTTTTATTAAAAACAGCTATACATAGTCTGTATTTTAAAGGAATTTAAAATGAGTAAGTGTTAATTCTTCTCTTGTGTTTCCTTAGGACACTTTTATAAATTCATTACTGTGATAGTCAAGTATTGGCAAATAACAGAAATATATTTTCTTCATGCATATCAAACAGGAAATTGTTTCATAAGCTATCATTCACATATGACGTACAGATTTCTTTCCTCCCAACGTTGCTGGAATGAATTCCTACAGTAATCACCTCTTGCTGAAGCGGTTGCATATTTATATTTTGCTTACTATTTCACCCTTTCTGGTTGCTTGAAACATCAGCTCTTAAAGAATTGTAACATCAATGTGGAAATATTTCATGCAAGTGGGCTGATTTGTGCAATAAGCCAAGTACAAATTTCACATCCTGCCATATAAAACACTGTAATGGGAATTTTTTTTATAAATTAACCCTTAGAAAAAGCAATAGAACTCTTAATCATTTATCCCAATATAAATGTCAGAATTGTTCATATGTAAAGTATTTCAGCTTCATTATTCTTATTTGGTATGTCAGTGGAGTTTCACAACAAAATATCTCTGAAAAGATGGGCAGATAAAGTTAGGACTCTTCATTCTTTTGTGCTCCCTTTCCACTATACTGTAATTTCTTTTCCCCATGGAGCTCAGTTCAGTTAAAGAATGCACTATCTCTTTCTGTTTACTTGTAGGTAGAGAAAATGCCCATAGTTCAGCTCTCAGTGTTTGTGTTGAGAATGTTTTCCTACCCTTGATCGCTTTGAAATCAACAATATATATATATATGTGTGTGTGTGTGTGTGTGTGTGTGTGTGTGTGTGTGTGTGTGTGTGTGTGTGTGTGTGTG